CCAAGTGCACGATGGGCTTCCTAAGCACGGGGCGGGGTGGCCCTTTGAGAACCAGGCCCATAGAGGGGCCCACCCCGAGGTGCGCGACTTTCTTTGTTCCCACGAGGTGCTCCAGGCCACGGGGGCGGTCATCATCGCGGGCGCGACGCGCGCGCGGGGCTCTGCGCCTCGGACGGTACTTCTACCAGATGGGGTGCTGGCTCGTCGCCCCCACCAACTTCGCCCCCTTCTTCGCGAGCCCCATCCGCCCATGTCCAGGGCCCTCAGAAATCCCCGCGAATATCTCGAGCTCATAGGCAACGTTCCAGGGACAGGCATCGAGCGCACGATGGGGGGCCGCCCAGCGCCCTTGAAGGTTTGCCCGGGCGGCGGCGCGCGCCTTCCACGAAGCCGCGCGCCCCGCCCCCCCACCCCGTGGGGGGGGGCGCGCCCGCTGCGCGCAGTGAAACCCAAGGCAGGGAAAGGCCGAAGGGGAGGAAGTGGGGGGGGGGCGGAGATGCGACGACTCCGAGGAGGACGACCTGGACCCCTGGAGGGGCGAGGACACCCCAGACTCCCCTTGGGCGGCCCCAGAGGGGGCGGCAGGGCACCCCAGAAGCTGGAGGACGCCCCGGCCGCCCATCGGCGACCCCGACCACGACGGGGGAAGGGGCGGGGGGCCCCCGCCGGAGGGCGCCGCCGCGGAGCGGGCTAACGCCCTGCATGTGCCTCCACTGCGACGCGGCCACATCTAAGTCTTGGGGCGCCGGGGGCGAGCGGTAGAGGGGCGCCGGGGAGCTTGGGGGGCCCGGCGAGGCAACAATTTGGACGGCGTTCGACGACTGGCTCCGTGACCTGCTGGAGCCGGCACCCATGGGCCCTGGATGGTCCGGGAGGGGGCCCCCGCGCGTCATCCCCCGGCGGCTAGAGCGCCCTCGAAGCCCCGCGAGAGCGCGCGGGGGCGCCCCGACGAGGCGATGGAGAAACTCTGGAAGGACGTGCGCCGGGGGAGGGCCCTGTCGTCGCCGCGGGGGGGGGGCCCGAGATGAACCCCGACCGCGCGATCTGAGGAGGGGAGGTTCTCTGTTGGAAGAACCGACGCCCAGCGGCGAAGGTCTTGGTTGTCCAACGGGACATAGTAGAGGTCTTCCGGTGGAAATGGTTGAAAACCAAAGACACGGGGGCATTCCCCACCGAACTCCCGGGGAAGCAAGTTGGGGTGGAAGGGGGGCCTCGCAGCTAATTACTTCGTGCTCACCTTCGGCTGGATCGGGGGCCCCCGGGAGCACGCGGCGCTCGGGATTGCCCTCGGGCAGCGCCATGACCGCCGCCGCCCTGAGGGCCCCGGCTGGCGCGACGAGATAGGTGCCCCGCCAATCCCACTTTCTTATGGGCGACGACGCGTTGATTGAGCCGCTGCGGGGCTGGCGGAGGAAGGGGCTCGGCGGGCGTTCGGGCCCCTCGCGATCAACGCCGATGAGAAGGCAGAGGAGGGGGAGTACATGGTGGACCAGACCTGATGGGGAATACATGTGAACGCGGAGGAGGGGCCCCCCCGTCTTACAGAGGAGGAAGTCAACGAGATCAGGGCCCTCCTGGGGGAGCCCGCCCACGACGCGGGAAACGCCCGCGTCGCCTTGAGAGGCGTGGAGGTCTTTTGGGGACCCCCCCACTTCGCCGCGATCGCTTGCCCCCCCCCCCCCCGCCCGCCGGAGCCCGGGGCGGCGGGCCGCCTCCTGTGGACGGCGGGCCCTTCTCGGACCACGGTGGAAAACGAGGCCAAGACCCCCGAAGAAAGGGATCAGGTCTGGGAGGATTCGTGGGAGGCGTTAGAGACACAGGCTTTGCGCGGAGGAGCCCCAAGCATGGGCGACCCACTACGGGCCTCAAGTCGGCGCCCCACCCGAGAGAGAGAGGGTGGCGCTGCCAGGAGGGCTGCAGGAGTTCGCGTGGACCGGAGGGTGGGTGGGGGCGGCAGACTGGGCGGCGGGAGTGCGCGGAGCGATGGGCGCCAAGGAAGTCGCAGAGTCCTTCGGGGAGGTATACGGGAAAGGGGGCGACACCATCTCGATCAACGAGCTGCTCACGTTCCTACTAGTCCTCGCGGTGGCGCGAGGCCCAGACTGAAAGGGCAACTTGGTCCTCTACGTGGCCGACAACGCCAGCGCCGAGGCCTGGCCGCTGAAGAGGGTGGCCAAGAACTGGCGGGCCCGCGACGACCTCCGCCTCCAACTCTTGGAGGCCTGGCGCGGATTCCACGTCGCCGCGGCGGGGGTCTGGACCAAGCGCAATCAGAGCATGGATCTCCTTTCGCGGGACACCAAGGAGGCCGTCCAAAGGGGGGTGACCCGCGCGGGGCTCCAGGGGCTGGGGGCCCTGGATGGAGGTTCTGGCGGGGGTCGAGAAGGGGTGGCCCTCCTTTTTGCCGGGTGATTCGGATGCCCATCGGAAGATCCAACGCCCGCGCGCGCGCGCCTGAGTGGCGGCGACCATCTGATGGAGTGCTGGGTAACGTTGGCCCCTTACTGACGGGCGGCCGGTGAGATGGGGGCGCAGTTCGGGGCAGCCCAGCCGACGCTCGCGGCCGAGGTCCACCTCCCCGGGCGGGAAGCCCACTGGCGGCACCTGAAGGACAGGCACGCCGACCGGGTCCGCGCCACCGCCCACGAGACGCGGGTCGTCGCCTCCCTCGCATGGGGCCCCAAGGGCTTGGTGGAGGCGCATAATGTCGCGCGCGTCGCGGTCGCCCATGAGGCCGCCCTCGCGCCGGCCGATGCACCGCCCGAAACGGGGCTGGGTCGGGCGAAGGCCGCCCTTGAGCGTCATGGTTGCACCGCCGCGGAGGAGGTCATCTACGCCCGTCGCCGCGGCGACCGCACCGCCAGGGGCGGCAGCCTGCTGGTTGCTTTTAAGGATCGGAGAAGCTGGGGGGCGCACCGTCTGAGCCACCTCCAGCGAGCTCGGCGCGCTCGGGGGCGCGATCCTGCCGCCGGAGGCCGCCCCCGTGGATCTCTACCTGAAGTAAGGAACGGGCCGGGTGACCTGGGGGGGGGGGGCTTCCAGGTCCCAGGGCGCAACTTCGGGGGGGCGAGCCCCCCCCCGCTGTTGGCGGCAGGGGCGCAGAGAGTCAGGGGCCCCCAGGCGGATGAAGGAAGGGCGACGGTGGGGGGCGCCGGCGCCCTCGGCCGCGCCGCCCTTGGCCCCGACAGCCCTGGGCCCGACCGAGCGCAAGCTTACAGCCCGGGCCCGGTGGCGGGGCGCGGCAACATGTTGTTGGAGGACGCCAGAGGCCCAGGGGCCGCGGCCAGGCGTTTGGAGCCTTCGGAAGCCCGGCAGATCACCGCGGGCACCCTCGGCTGGAGGGTCGGAAGGAAGCAGGGGGTGCCCGCCGAGACGCTACTCGCTGGAGCGGCTCGCTCCCCGCCGCCTGGCACGGCCCACGAATCCTCTGGGCGGCGGCATCGGCCCGGGAGGGGGGGCCGACGAGCCCACGCGCGCGGGGTCTGCAGGGGTCCAGACGAGGAGCTCACGGCTACTTACCGCCAGCGCTGTCTGGCTCGCGGCCTGGATGGCGGAACCGCGCGATCCCCGGGCGGCCCACGAGCGCTGGCCGAGGGGGGCCCGGAGCAGTCGGGCGGGGAGGGGCGACGAGCCCGCGGGGCCCCTCCCAGCCAGCCGAGCGGGGGCGCGACCCACAACAGTCCAATCTGCCCAAGAGCCCCAGCTAGGGTCGGACTGAGCGGGGCGTCGCCCACGCAGCCCGCGGCTGCATCGCCTCGTGCTGGAGGCTCGAGGAGGAGGAGGAGGAGGAGGAGGAGGAGGACGAGGACGAGGACGAGGACGAGGACGAGGACGAGGACGAGGACGAGGACGAGGACGAGGACGAGGACGAGGAGGACGAGGAGGAGGCCGCCCAGGACCCCCCCGCCCCATCCAAGGCAGCGCCCAGTGCCGAGCCCAGGCCCGCGGAGCGGGGCGGGAATTCGGCCCCAGATCGGCGGAGGGCGACTGGGCGAGGAAAGGGAGGCGGTTCGGAAACCTGGCAAGGGGGCCCGCTCCTCCTCCGCGATCGGCTTGAGACAGCGGCTGTTCTCCATGAAGGCCCTGGACCGAAGCCCGTATCTGATCGGACTGGGAAGAGAAGGGAGGAAACTGGACGAGGACGTCCTCCTGGACCGGGTGGTCCACCTGGCACACGTCCAGAAGCGCTCGAAGGGAATAGTCCGCGGGATGCTTATGGCGGCGCGGCACTACCACGTGGCCGCTGGTCACCCGGACCCGCTGGAGTTGGCCCCCCGGTTGTGGCTTGCGCTGGGAGGACTGAAGAGGTTGATAACCAAGCAGAGCAGGAAATGCCCCGTAACGGTGGAGATGATGAGCTGGCCGCAGAAGCTCAGCACTGGGAGGCTTGGGGATGTGGCGAAGTGGACCTATCTCGGTCGCCTTCTTTTTCATGCTTCGGGCCTCGGAGCGCTTCGCCGACGCCTCGGGGGGCGCCCCCAGGCAGCGAGCCGGGTCTTGCTCGGGCGAGACATTGCCCCGAGGAAGGAGGGGGCAGTCTGCACCTCCTTCGGGTCCGCGGACGACGTGGTAATCCATACCAAGGGGAGCAAGGCCGACCGGTGCAACTTTGGATGTTGCCGGGACCATTGCGCCACCGGGAACTCCTTGTGCCCCGTCAGAGCCTTGGCCTCGGTTGGCCCCCCAGCGTTGGACGTCGGAAGGAAAGGCCCCCTTTTTCCGAGACGAGGCAAGGGGGCCCATCCGCCGACAGGACATCAAACGCTTGGGCGGGGCCTGGCGCAAGTGCACGCATTATTACAGTTCTGGGCAGACTATCATGCACGGCCTTACCCTGCTCCAGCCCCGAGAGGCGATCAATTAACACATGTGGAAAGCGATCGTGAGGGTCCATATTCTCCTCCTCCTCCTGCTCCTCCCCCTCCTCCTCCTCCTCCTCACCCTCCTCCTCCTCCTCCTCCTCCTCCTTCTCCTCCTCTTCGCTTGGTCTCGCCCGCGAGAGGTTGGAGGACAGCAGGTCGTGTGCTACCACAGCTCGGACGCCCAGGAGTCGCCCCCATTGAGGAGGAGGAGGAGGAGGAGGAGGAGGAGGAGGAGGAGGAGGAGGAGGAGGAGGAGGAGGAGGAGGAGGAGGAGGAGGAGGAGGAGGAGGAGGAGGGAGGACGAGGAGGAGGGGGAGGAGGAGGACGAGGGGGGAAGGAACAGGAGGAGGAGCAGGAGGGGGAGGAGGGGGAGGAGGAGCAGGTGGAGGAGGAGGAGGAGGAGGAGGAGGAGGAGGACGACGAGGGGGAGGGGAGGAGGAGAAGGAGTAGGACGGGGGAGGAGGGGGAAGAGGAAGAGGAGGAGGAGGAGGAGGAGGAAGGAGGAGGGGGAGGAGGAGGAAGAGGAAACCTACACCTTGGGTGGCAACCCTAGGGTTGCTGGTTTTATCATCGTGCACATCTCCCTCGTCCTCCTCCCTCCTCGTTCGCATCCTCGTGGGCTTCGCCCCTGTAGTTCGGGGCTGACCTATACAAAACTCTGGCTCGCAGCCCACAGAGTGCGTGCTGTTTACCTCTGAGATTGAACAGTTTGCCTTCAGAACCCCATCGCGTACGCAGTCTCGGACACAGCACGGCAGCACGATCTCGGCGACTGACATTTTTGTTCAGTGCACATCGACGGTGGCACGTGTCCAGCCCCAGTGTACTAACTGCACCGCTGCTGCACTACACCCTACCTGACCTACTATACACTGCACCTTGACACGCTGGTGGTCTCTTTACGGGCCTCGAGGCTTTTATGTTTTCCCTTGGGTGTTTCCCCCCCCCTCGAGGCGTTTTTGTTGTCCCCCCGGGGGGGGGGGGGCGGGGAGGGGCCGAGGGCCCCCCGAGGCTCTTTTTTGTTTCTCCCCCTCGAGGGTCTTCTTATTTTCCCTCGACGCTTTTTGTTCCCCCCCCCCCAGGGGGCCTCGAGGCTTTCATTTTTTCCCTCGGAGGCTCCCCCCCCCCCCTCGAGGCTTTTTTTTCCTCCCCGGGGGGGGGGGGGCGGAGAGGGGCTGGGGCCCCGAGGCTTTTATGTGTTTCCATCGGAGGCTTTTTGTTTCCCCTTGATGCTTTCGTTTTTTCCCCCTCGAAGCTTGTGGGGAATCCAGGGCCTCAACGCGGCGACACGTCGCATGGGAGTGAAGAAGGCAAGAGGGATCGACGCAATTGGCCCGTTAGATATTGAGCGTATCCCAGACCAGGCGAAGGTAGACTTTCTGGACATCATCGCTGACGCCGAAAGCTATCTCATGTGGCCCCCACAAGTACTCGGCACCATTGGAGCGATCGCAGGCCAACCTGCGGGAGGTGATAGAGTTTTGGGACTGCTACCTATGACAATACGCATATGGTCACGAATGCGGTCTGGAGTGGTAGAGTCCTGGACGCAGCAGCTGGAGGATCATTGGGACACGGCGCTACGTGGATCCTCGGCACTACGAGCGGCATTACTCAGAGCCACGCTCGATGAAACAGGGCACACAATGGGAATTGCACACGCGGAGTTGTTCGCCGACATGGAGCCGTTCTATGATTCATTGGATCTTGGGTGGCTGATAGACACGGGGATCAAGCTGGAATTCTCACCGACAGTTATGGCAATGGAAGTGGAAGCGTTCTTGGGGCCACGGCATCTCAAGCACACGGATTGGATAGGGCCCAGAATCGACCCGACGTGCTCGATCGTCGCTGGTTCGGCACAGGGCACCAGGTTCGCTAAAGTGCACCTCTTCCCCTTCTTGGAAGCAGCACAGAAGAGAGTGCAGGCAGCGGGCTTGTGGTCGTGCATGGACGACACGGTTGGACGCGTCGAAGGCACGGAGGAAATTGTTGAGAAGCAGATGTTAGAGTTGGCTGACGAGTTCATACACAAGGCCGCTCAGCGCAACCTGACGATCTCGCCGAAGACGGTGCTAGTGGCGTCGAACCCCAAGTTGCGAAGGCGTATCTGGCGCAAGCTCCAACAACGCGGTCTTCCAGGCAAACAGCAAGCAGACATGGTGGACCTCGGCACCGACGTCAGTGGCATTGGCAAGCGAACACCAAAGAAAACCAGAGGAAGGCAGCGCAAGGCCAAACAGAAAGCAGGCAAGATCCTTCGAATAAGACGAATGGCGACGAAGGTTGCGAAGATCACCCAAGGCTTGTTCACCACGGGCGTTTCCCCGCAGGAGTCGTACGGGCACGAGGTCTGGGGCATCGCACCTAGCCGCATATTACAACTACGAAGGATGGCAATGCGACCGGCCGCTGGTATTGGACCTGGGGGGTGTCTATCCACGGGCATGGCGGTACTGTACCACCTCAAGGACCCAGGCATCAGCTTACGGAAGCAGCTAGTCAGCGAATGGCTACAACAATGGATGCACCACCCTGAGCTCCACAGACGAGTACGCCAAGTATGGGGCCCAACGTACCGCAAGGTCAGTGCAGGATCTAAGATGTGGCGCAAGGTGAATGGACCAGTGGCGGCAATACAAGCTACTTTGATCGCGGCAGGGTGGAAGCCAGAGCAGGCAGCGCTCTGGAAGCGACCTACGCAGCAAGGAGACGAACACTGGCAGCTCCCTTTCATTGACGACGACGGCAAGTGCGACATCGATGCCATAGAATATACTCAATTGCTAGAAGACCTCGAGTACGACCTAGACGCAGCACGGTGGGCACAAGCTGCAACACATTTACATGGCGAAGATTTACTACGCGGAGGAGATATTTGGCATATCAGCAAGGAGCAGAAAAGGTTCAGCCAGCGCGCAGAGTGGCAGGACTGGGCGCTCAACAATGCGGTGGTTACAGGGGGACAATGGACACAGCAAAGACAGATACAAGCCGGCTACGAATGCGACACAAATATCTGCTCGAGGTGCAAGCAGGAGCCCGAGACCCTTTTCCACCGCATCTACACTTGTGCTGCAAACACAGGGCACGAGACCTACGAGAAAACGGACTACTTGGTGCCCAAAGCGATGGCAGGAGTGGAAGCGAACCCCACCCTGTGGCTGCGTGGGATCCCGCCAAGAGGCTTCACTCACCCAAAAGTCCCCGGCATTGACAGACAGGACTACATCAGGTTCGGCAATTACGAGGAGGCTCGAGTACCTGGACGGCCGCTGTATCTCTTTGGCGACGGATCAGGAGGCACCCACGGTGCAGACCTACGAAGGCGGCGAGTTGTCATAGGCGTGGCGGCTATGAAGACGATCGATGGCAAGTGGCACATGTCTGCAGGTGCGATGGCAGATTTACCAGGACGGCGACAAACAGTACCAAGAGGTAAGCTCATGGCGTTCGCGTTCGCGATAGAGGAAACCCGAGGAGACATTGTGTACGTCACGGACCATCATCCACTACCCAACGCGTGGTCGAGAGGTAGAGCACACGAACCAAGTAGAGGTAATAATGCGGACATATGGGCACGTACCAAGCGTGCAATCATGGACACAAGCCCCAGGCAGATCGAAGTGGAGTGGACCCCCTCACATCAGGACGAGGAGGAGGCAGAGCTGATCAACCCGATCTACGCGATGGGCAATAGTTTCGCAGACGCTCTAGCGACAGTTGCAGCGGAGGCATCATGGGACAGAGCGAGCAGGCCCCTACCTCGCACGGATGAATGGGACGCGATCTGTGCACACGTCAGACTTCGAGCACGGCAGGCGCTGGCAGACACAGCGAGCGCGGATCCCTGGTGCGCAGAGAGACCCTCCACGGCCAAGCCCAAGGTAAAGCGAGACAAGCAGCAGGATATCATCAGCAGCGCCAAGCAGCACGACATGGTCAAGCTCAAAAATAAGTGGTTCTGTACAGCGTGCAGACAGTATATCGCAGTGGGCGCCCTGAACGAGTTCGCGAAGACGGAGTGCAGCGCCTCGTTCACCACGGCGAACGAGATCGCGGAGGTCAAGGGCGACAGGTTTATGGGCAATGGGAACATACACCAGAGTCATGCTATCAGTGAATGGGCTCGGTATGGTCTGCTTTTCTGTGCACGGCGTGCGGCGTATGGCACGACCATTGGTAAGAGGTTGCGGGAGCCGCGTGACGAGACGATCACCAAGTACGGGCAAGATGCGCTCAACAGGATACGAGATGGGCGATACCCTGGCTATAAAGCACCACCGAAGGCGGCACAAGAGGCGGAGTTGGCACGGACTGTGAGGAAGTTGCGGGGTCAGGAGCGCCTGGCCCCGCATGAGGAGCAAGCCCCCTCGGTGCTGACAAACCCCCCACCAGAGACACATCCACAGCCTCGACCTAGAAGGACAGCGAAGCGACGACCAGCAGCGAGATGCACACCACCAGCAGTACATCCTGCGGATAGCGCAGACGAGGGCCAGCTTACTGCACAGCCCGAGACGAGGGCAGATTATGACGACCCAGACCTGCAGCGGGACCCAGACGATTTTGTCTGAGATCCCCAGCGCGGTGAGGGGTTAGACTGCTTAGTGCCCCTGCGTGGCGAGGGGTTAGGCCACGGCAGTCCCCAGCGCGGTGAGGGGTTAGACCGCAATGGTGAGCAAGACGCGGACTTATTGACCAACAGTGTGGTAGACAGGACCTCGCAACTAACAGAGCGGACCCACACCCTGGGAAACCGACAGGCTGAACGCGAGGGGGAGGGCTTGGCCCGTGGATACCACGCGAACCGCGAACACAGCGAGTGGAATAGTCAGGGGACCGCTCCCGAGCCAGTGGGCGGTACCATCAAGGATGGGGACAGTGCGAGGTTTGGCGTTCCCCCGCGCGGCGAGGGGTTAGACCGCAGCAGCAGCGATCCCCAGCGCGGCGAGGGGTTAGGCCACTGTCCCCCCCCAGCACGGCGAGGGGTTAGGCCGCAGCAGTGGATCGACAGCGAGCTCGAGCAGGGTGCCACGGGCACCGACTGGCGACTACATCGAGCTAGAGCTGCATGACGGGCATGACAACGATGTTCCCCAGCACGGTGAGGGGTTAGACCGTGCCCGACCCCAGCACGGCGACAGCGCGGGGCAATGCGATCCCCAGCGCGGTGAGGGGTTAGACCGCGGCAACCCCCAGCGCGGCGAGGGGTTCGGCCACCGACCCCAGCGCGGTGAGGGGTTAGACCGCTCCCTGCCCCAGCGCGGCGAGGGGTTAGGCCAGGTCCCTGTCGAGCCCAGAGAGCATAACGCGGACTACGTCACCGACGTGGTGGTAGACAGGACCTCGCAACTAACAGAGCGGACCCATACCCTGGGTAACCGACAGACTGAACGCGAGGGGGAGGGCTTGGCCCGCGGATACCACGTGAACCGCGAACACAGCGAGCGGCATTGTCAGGAGACCTCGCCCGTGCTAGAAGACAGCAGCATTAAATATCGCAACAGTGCCAGACTCGGCGCCCCCCCGCGCGGTGAGGGGTTAGACCGCAGCAGCAGACCCCAGAGGGACAAGGGGTTAGGCCACAGGCCCCAGCGAGGCAAGGGAGTCGACCGCACCGGTCCCCAGCGCGGCGAGGGGTTAGGCCACTCTACTCCCCAGCGCGGCGAGGGGTTAGGCCGCAGCAGTGGAATGGCAGCGAGCCCGAGCACGTTGCCACGGGCACCGACTGGCGACTATATCGAGCTAGAGCTGCATGCCGACGATGACGACGAGGTCCCCCAGCACGGTGTGGGGTTAGACTCCACCCGACCTCAGCTCGGCGAGGGTGCAGGGCAAGGAGATCCCCAGCGCGGTGAGGGGTTAGACCGCAGCAGCATTCCCCTGCGCGGCGAGGGGTTAGGCCACCGACCCCAGCGCGGCGAGGGGTCAGTCCGCTTCCTGCCCCAGCGCGGAGAGGGGTTAGGCCACATAATTCCCCAGCGCGGCGAGGGGTTAGGCCGCAGAGGGTTTGCTTCGAGTTCGAGCTGGTCGGCATTGGTGCAGCCCGCCGACCACCTCGAGCTGGAGCTCTACGATGAGGACGACGAGGCGCCAGGCCCGTCGCCCGCCAGCGGTGTGACACAGGCGCAGACCTGTGCGCCTGTCGCCGCCGCCGCCGCCCGCTCGCCGTGCGAGAACCCCAGAGCGCCCGCGACCTTGGCACCTGGGAGTGGGCCCCCGCTGGGAAACGGGCCAGCGGGCGGCGGTGAAAGAGACTGATGGATTAACCAAGGGCTCGCCATGTCGCGCTGGGGCCTCGGTGTCAGCGCGGGGTGGCGACTCTAGTGGCGTGCCTAACCTAATCCTCCTCTTTTTCTTATTTGTTTTCCTCCTCTTCTCCCCCTCCCCGTCTCAGCCTCTCGCCCCGGCCCCCTGCGATGGCAAGCGCGCGCCAGTATGTTTCCCTGGTGTCCGTCGAGCGCGCCGATAGGCACATCTCGTCCTGTTAATGCTTATGTTCGGCGGCGAACGAGGGGGAAAGTGAGAAGGATCGGCGAGCGCGGGGGGAAGTGAGGAGGAAAGGCCTTTTCAGAAGGCTCGGAAGTCTCCGGCCTTTTGAGAAGTTTTCGAAGCCTTCTCCGAAGACAGAAACAAATCTCAGAAAGCGCGTGGGTTTCTGAGAAGTCCCGCCGCTTTCTGAGAAGGTTTTCTCCTTCTCATTTCCCCCCTTCGTTCGCCGCCGATTTGCGTCCTCTCGGGCACGCGTTTGTCTGGTCTTGCCGATGTCGCCGATCGCCCACGTCGCTGGTGCAACGGCGATGCGGTTCGATGTCCCGACCCCATCCATTCGGACCCCGTTCTACGGAAACGGGCCCCGGAACCCATGGTCTTCCCCAGGGCCAAATCTTCGTTTTGATTAGTTCCCTACCCAGGCTCTGCCTAGAAGGTTCCCCCGCTTTGCCTAGCCTAGCTTAGCTGAGCTGAGCTGAGCTGAGCTGAGCTGAGCTTAGCTAGGCTTAGCTTGGCTTAGCTTGGCTTGGCTTAGCTTAGCCTAGCATAGCTTAGCTTAGCGCAGCGCAGCATAGCGCAGCGCAGCATTAGCACAGCATAGCAAGGCATAACATAGCACAGCCAAGCATAGCATAGCTTAGCATAGCGTAGCGTATCATAACATATCATAGCATAGCATAGCGCAGCATAACATCACATATCATAGCATAGCATTGCTTATCATAGCACAGCGCAGCATAGCATACCATAGCATAGTACAACATAACATACCATATAATCGCATAGCGCAGTATATCATAACATAGCATAGCATAGCATCGCGTAGCATATACTACCATAGCATAGCCTAACGTAACATATCATAACGCAGCATAACATATCATAACATAGCATCGCATAGCGCAACATAGCATATCATATCATACCATATCATAGCGAAGCATATATTAGCCTACTTTAGCTTAGCGCAGCGCAGCGCAGCACTAGCACAGCATAGCATAGCATATCATAGTCAAGCATAGCATATCATAGCATAGCATAGCATAGCATAGCATAGCATGCAACGCAAAAGCAAAACCACTGCGAAAGTGTAGATGTAGATGTGGATGTAGGTGTAGGTGAAGATGTGGATGTAGGTGTAAATGTAGATGTAGTTGTAGATGTAGGTGTAGACGTAGGTGTGGATGTGGATGCAGATGTGAGTCTCGCTGTTGATGTTGATGTAGATGTAGATGCAGGTGTAGATGTTAATGTAGCTTTCTGTGTAGATATAGATGTTGCTTTCCTAGATGCTCCAACTCCTAGGTAGGGTCGCACTGGGATAATTTGCGACGGTCCCGGGGCCCCTGGCAGGGCCCGGTGGCTGAAAGCGGCGACAAACTTCCGGACCTTTTCTTCAAAGAGCCCCTTTCCTTCGTGGCGACTTGCTAAGTACCCCTCCGCCCGGCGACGGCCGGCCTTCGGTCCCAAAGGGTGCCGCGCCCCCCCCGCGGCGCGAGCGCGCGCGGGCGCGCGCGGGCGCATAGGAGAGCGGGCGCGCCGCGCGCCACGGCCATAGCTGAAGGGGGACCGGAGGAGAAGGGAGGGAGAGAGAAAGGAAGGAGAGGGAGACGAGGGAGGAGGAGGAGAGGGACGAGGAAGAGGAGGAGGATGAGGGGTGAGAGGCAGGAGAAGGAGGACAACGAGGAGGAGGAGGAGGAGGAGGAGGAGGAGGAGGAACAGGAGTAGAGGAGGAGATTGGGTGGGAGGTGGGAGCAGGAGGAGAAGAAGGAGGAGGAGGAGGAGGGAGGAGCAACAGGAGCACGAGGAGGAGAAGGAGGTGGGAGGAGGGAAGAGGAGGGGGGGAGGAGCGGAGGAGGGTGGAGGATGGAGGATGGAGGAAGGGGATGAGGAGGATTGGGAGGCCGGTGTTTGTCCGTATTGGCAAATGCTGTCATCGTTGTAGTGCGTGGTCACTTGAAACGAAAATGTCTTGGACGAGAAGAGGTGCTTAAAGTACCCGTACACGTCTGCCAGAATTATGTTCCTCGCCCTCCTCCCTGATTTGCTCTCACCCCCCGCTGCCCCCCCCTCCTTTCCCAGTTGCTTTCCTTATCGGTCTGCATCCCCGTCTCCCCCTTCATTCCCGCATTGCCTCACCCTCGTTTTCTTCTTCATCCCTCCTCTGTGCCCGTCGGCAGGCGAACCGTACCGCTCGTGTTTCAGACCCTGTTCGAGGATGGCCTTAAGCAACGTGTTTGTTGCTGTCGGTGACGATGCGCACGCCTTGCCTGAAGAATGAACAAGATTCCCATGCCGAACGGCAATATGCCCAAACATATGTATCATACAAGTTCCTTGTGTATATACATTAATTTATGTTGATGTGTGTATACATTTAGGTCGAAGCATACGTATATTTCTTTTGCTGCTACAGCGCAGCGGAGGCTTGGCGTAGGATGGTCGCACGGTGGCGCCTGGGGTGGGAATCATCATTTGGGAATGCCTGGGGGTTCAGGTCTGTAGGAGAGCCCGCAGGGGCGTCAGGAAAGCTGTCTTAGTAGATCGTCGCCGTGGCTCTTGGTTCGCCCATTTTCGCGTCAACATGCTGTTGTTGCGAGGAAGTTCCGCTTCAAATTTCATATCCTGAATTCCAGTTCGAGATTTCCGGACTTTCTCGGAGCGGGCCCACCATGATTCCCATCTGGAATTTAGAATTCTGAGGTCGTCTCCCAGGCTTCGGTGGCAAACGGCAGCCGAACACGTCTGGACAAATGTTGAAGTCGACACGCGCAAATTTGATGAAAAAACACGCAGGAAAGCGCCGCATGTGGTGACATGGTGCATTCAAACGGGCCTGCGCTAATACACTGGAAACTGATTGGTCAAATCAAACGCCTGTCGAACCCAGCCGCTTTTACGACCACGCAAGGGAGCCTACAAGAGCACCGCGTTTCCACATGGTGTTGTTGGACGCCAGCGGCGCAAACCCGACCGCTGTAGCACCGGAACTAACAAGACAACCTGACGTCGATGTTTCTGCGCAAGACGGCCCAACGTTGCCGCGTGCGCGGCGGCGTAGAGGTCGCCCCCGCTCCGTTCCCGCGCGGGACGGCCCGGCGCCGCCGCGCGCACGGCGGCGCAGGGACCGTCTCCACTGCGGTTCTTTACGCAAGCAACCCAGGCCCGCCGCGCGCGCGGCGGCGCAGAGGCTGCCACCGCGAGGTCTCCCCGCGCACGACGGCCAAGCGCCGCCGCGCGCACGGCGGCGCAGAAACGGCTCGCGCTGCGTCTCGCGCTCGCGACGGCCCCGGCCCGCCCCGAGCGCGGCGGCGCAAAAGCCGCTTCCGCTGCGTTTCCCCGCGCACCACGGCCCAGCTTCGCCGCGGCGCAGGGGCCGCCTGCATTGCGTTTCCTCGCGCACGCCAGCCCAGCGCCGCCGCGCGCGCGGCGGCGCGGTGGCCACTCGCGCTGCGTTTCTCCGCGAACGACGGTCCAGCGTCGCCGCGTGCGCGGCGGCGCAGGGACCGCCGGCGATGCGTCGTCCGCGCGCGGCGGGCCAGGACCACCGTCAGCGGCGGCGCAGAGACCGCTCCCGCTGCATGTCGCAACGCGCGACGGCCCAGCGACGCCGCGCGCGCGGCGGCGCAGATGCCGGTCTCGCTGCGATCTTGCCGCGCGCGACGGCCCAGCGCCGCCGCGCGCGCGGCGGCGCAGAGCCCGCCTCCAGTGCGTTCCTCCGCGCACGACGGCGCGGGGCCCCCTCGCGCGGCGTCGCGGGGACCGCTCGCGGCGCGCTTCTTCCCCGCGCGACGGGCCGGCAACGCGGCGCGCGCGCGGCGGCGTCGAGGCGTTTGCCTAGCGGTTGCCTCGGCGTCAGCCGAACGGTTGCTTGCCAGGGCTTCCCCGGACTCGGCGTCAGCCAAGCGATTTGGGCGACGCGTTCTGCGCTGCGCTTCTGCCTCGCGCAGTGCGCGAGCGGCTTCTGCGAGGGACAATCGAAGGGCGCATTGCGCGCCGGCGCCAGCCGAGCGAGTTGCGTGAACTCCCAGAGGGTGCCAGCGCAATTGTCTGGCAGGCTCTGGATCGACCGATGCGCAAGGGTCTGGGGGGGCTCCGGGTCGACCGAGGCTTCGAGCGCCCGGGCGCTTCTGGATCGGCCGAGAGTGAGCGGGCCCAGGACACGCCAGGATTGCAAAAAAAAACGAAGGATTGCAAACAAAACCCTAGGTTTTTTTGCAATCCTGGCGAAGGATTGCAGAACAAAAAAAAACCTAGGTTTTTTTTTTGCAATCCTTAGCTCATTGGTTTGGGAAGCTCTGATTGCAAACGTTCCAGCGCTGCACCGCGAGCGCGGGTGGGCGCGCCCGTGCGCCCACGGCGTGCGCGGGCGGGCGCGCCCAGGAGCTCGCGGCGCGCGTGGGCGCCCGCGCCCGAAGTGACCGCCCGAGTTGACCCCCCCCCCCGTTGGCAGCCCGAGATAGCTGGCCAAGTTGACCGGCTGATGCCATCGGCGGAGTCGATCAGCCAAGTTGCTCGCCCGATGCAGTCGGCCGAGTTGATCGGCCGACTTGATCGGCCAAAGTATCGGCCGAATAAACGGCGCGCGCACGTCGACGAGTTGATCGGCCCAGTTTGTCGGCCAAGTTGACCGGCCGACTTCGTCGGCGACGCTCGCGTCGATGAGTTCATCGGCCGAGTTGACCGCCGAGCCGCGCGTTGACCGCCCCCCGCGCGTTGACCGACCGAGCTGACCGCCAAGGTCGACCGCCCAGCCGCGCGTTGACCGCCCAGGTTGACCGCCCAGCCCCGCGCTGACCGCCCGAGTTGACCGCCCGACGCGCCCGCCCTACTGCGCGCTGACCGACCGCGCGACCGCCCCCCTCGCGCGGAACCGCGAAGTCGATTGGCGGACGAGACTCGGCCGTGACTCGCTGGGAGACACCAGCGGCCTCAAAGGCACGTCCGCTCGCGTCGCGTTTTCCGCCGCGCGAGCGGGAAATCCAACGCGGGCGCCCCGCGCGCCGTCGCGCGCGCGGCGGCGCAGAGGCCGCCCCCACCAGACCTGCGTGCGCCAGACGGCCCGGCGCCTCCGCGATAGAGGAGCGCGAGGATGGCCTGGCAGGGCTTCCCCGTTCGTCAAATGGGCCCGCCCGCCCCGTCGCGCGCTGCCCATCCTCCCAAGGGCCCCTGGGCGACCGCGTTATGCCCCCGAGGCTCTCCAAGTCTCCACGCGGCCCAAGACGTCCACCGCGGCCGCCACGATGGCCTCCGACTCTGATCTTGGGCCCCAAGACAAACCAAGATGACCCCGTGGAGGCCCAAGACGGAATCCAGGTGGCTCAGAGAAGCCCCCCAGGACGGCCCAGGAGGCCCAAACGGGACTCCGAAAAACCCACGGGGCAAGGTTCATTGATTTTGACATGGTGTTTCATTTTTTGGGGGCCCCTCATCGTTCCCGGCTGCCATCAGCTCGAGACGACCAAGGAAGCCTCGATCGTCGCCCTGCGACGGCCCAGAGGCCCCCTTAAAAAAGCAAGGAAACCTTCGCGATGGCTTCGACAGAACTCAGCGGCCCCTAGACGGCACAGGACGGCCCGCAGAGAGCCCCAAGACAGCCTGCGAGGACCGCCAGAGGGATCCAGGACGGCCCGGGAGGGCCCCGCGACCCCCGACTGACCCGGACGCCCCCGCGGCGCCCCCCTTACGAAGGCTACAAAACAGACCCACGACGGCTCGAGAGGAACCCCCAAACATCCGAGGGAAGCCCCCAAGGGCCCGCAATACTGCCCCACCGAACCCAAGACTTCCTTGGCACGGCCCAAGCGAGCTCAAGACGTTGATTAGAACATCGTCACATCTGACAGCGTTCCTTTTTCTTCCTTCTTCACACCATCACCATCACCATCGTCGTCCTCGTCGCCATCACCATAACCGGCCTCGTCGTCATCACCGTCGTCATCACCATTCGAATAGTCGCCGCCCAATGTGCTGGACAGGCGCGGTGGCGGGACTTGCTTCTGGAAGCTGGACGCAATGCGAAACGCACTCGGCGACGTGAGCGCGGTGCTTCTTTCAGAAGGCTCGCCCACGTCCCTCGGATGTACAACACGAGCCCCCGCGCAAACAGCGCATGAAACTGCGGCCTCGTTGTGAACATGAGCGCGTGCGTTTGCATGCCTCGCGCTGCGTGGTACGAGACTAAACTCATACAGACAAGCGCGTGCTCGCGTGCTCTGCGGTAAGCGAGGCCGTTGGCGCCGCGCGCCATAGAACGAGCCACGCGTCGTGGGGCCCACGGGGAACCGCGCTGTCGGCGAGCGATGGCGCACGCAGAACCCAAGAAATCACAACTGCCACCCCCGTCGCAAAACTGAAGTCGATGTTCGATGTCTTACCATGTAGGCCAAAGCCACAAACCAACGGCATCGCAAGACCGAGACCGAAAACGAATACTGAGGCCGAGTACCGACGCGCATCGCAAGACATAGCAGCAGCACCAAGGCCGAACACGGACGCCCTGGGGCACAGGTCGAACCCGACAATTACGCCCAACCAATCGGACAACCCACCCCGACGAACGCCGCATATGCAATAATGTAGCACAAACGACGCTTTCAAGTGCAAATCAAACATTGAGAATATGGAGCCGCAGCTCAAAACAAACATATTTCAAAACAACAGGTTGACCCAACAAAACCCAACACCACAACAGAAACCGATCTCCGTTTTAGTCACACTTACTGCCCCTTCCTCTTGCTTTTCCTCCCGTCCACGAGCCATCGCCAGCACTGGCCGTCACTCGGCCGACCCGCCCCGCCCCCGCCCCTCTTTGTGACGCTGCAGCAACGTAGGTCTGCGAGAGCCGTGGTATGAACGCTCGTGAAAAAAAAAAAACGCATCTTCACGAAACGTTGCCACGAGCAGCGCGTGCCCCACAGGTGCCGGAGGGGCAGAGAGGCGCGGGGTGGTGGAGAAGCCCGCCAGGGCACAGAGGGGCGCACAAGCGGCAAGGCTCCCCGACACTCCCCACCAGCAGCAGAGGAGCGGAGGAGGAGAAAGAGGAGGAGAGGAGGAGGAGGAGGAGGAACAGGAGGAGCAGGGGGAGGAGCAGCAGGAGGAGGAGCAGGAGGAGAAGGATGACGAGGAGGAGGAGGAGCGAAACTGAAAAGGCTGAGAGGCGCTGAGGATCAGGAGGAGCAGGAGGAGCAGGAGGAGGAAAAGGAGCAGGAGGAGGACGAAGAGGAGCAGGAGCGGGAGGAGGAGGAGGAACAGGAGGAGGAGGAGGAGGAGGAGGAGGAGGAGGAGGAGGCGCTGCCACGGTGTGCTGCGGCCAGGCGGCCTGCTCACCATCGCCGTTCCGTGGCGGAGCGCCGGGCCCCATATGTTTAAAGCGAAAGTGCGCCGCGTTGAGGCGAGAGCCACATTTTGAAAACGACCCGCCCTCAATCCGTGAAAGTTCTGCAAAGGTTTACAACGAATGTGCGCCGCGCTGAGGCGAGAGCTACATGCTGAAAACGCTCCGCCCTCAATCCGTGAAGTTCTTGCAAATGTTTAATACGAATGTGCGCCGCGCTACGGCGAGAGCCATATTTTGAAAACCGCCCGCCTTCCATGTGTGAAACAGTTACCAATGTTTAGCTCAGAGCCATATGCGGTGAGGAAGTCTCGGGCGAAACGCCCGGCCCGCCCTAAAAACTGGTTCCGGGACGCGACAGGGAAAAGTGATTTCTAAGGAAAAGGAAGGAAGGATTAGGAGGAGGAGGAGGAGGAAAAGGAGGAGGAGGAGAAGGAGGAGGAGGAGAAGTCAGGCAGGGCCAGGGCGTCAGGATGAGGATCAGATCCCCGGTGCGCTCCCGGAGCGACACCTGTACCGATCCGATGGTGCTGTTGCGCCCGATGCGTGCCCCGGACGCGTGTGCTCTCGGCTATCCCCGATGTATACCTATCTGGGCAGATCCTCACCTCTTGGCATCGCCCGGACTTGTGCATCGCTCCCGGCGGGGACCATCGAGGAGCGTATGCGATCGTCTGGCGAAAAATTATGTGCACGCTGCTTCGCCAACGTGTTTTGACGAGCGCGTCCTGGATTCTGACGGACCGGACACATATAAACACAAGGGGTGTATTGGTTTTACGACGGAAGGGGGCGTCGTTGAGAGGGTGTTTGGCACGGATGCGGGGATCGGGGTGGCGTCGGTGTTTGGGGCTGGCGGTTTGCGTGGCACGTGCGTTTAGCTGGCCGCACTTGATTGGAACGCGTGACGGATGGAAAGGCCGCTCACCAGCAACTGGCAGTCCTCTGCCCCAGTGCCAGAACATATCGTCGCGCGCTCGCATCAGGGTGTGGGAAAAGGTGAAAGAGAAGTCCCTTCGATAGGCAGCAGACACATTTTTCTATTCAGATGCCGCGCGGCCAACCGAACGAAGGAAAAACTGTCTCGGCGCGCAGTGTTAGCTTCGCGCGCGCATCCTGGCTTCCTTCCGTTGGTTCCTTTTCTTTTTTCTCGCCCTGTTTTCCCCTTTGCCTTGTCCCGCCCCCCTTGTCACCGCGCGCGAAAAACGCAACCCAAAGGGCGTTGCTGTAATTCCTTTGCGTGCCACGAAGTCTCGTGTAATTCCACTGGTTACACTGCCAGCGCGGGGGGCACACAAAGGAATTTCCATTGTGCGCGATCGTTTTCGCCAGCCCGACAAGAGCACGCCCGATTCTTTTGTGTAGACCTTGCTTTCCCGCCTCGAGGAGCGCGCGGGGCCTGGCGCTACGAACGCAATGCCGCGGCGCCTGGGAGTGTGATGCAGCTGCGCCGGATACCATGCCCCAAAACGATCCTACGTGGATGTCGTCACTTCTGCCGAAATCGCGCTGGCAGCTGGCCAGCCACATCGCCGTCCGTGCGTGCCCGCGCGCGCTACTGCGTTTTGCTGCCGCGACGCGTGCTGCTGTCAACGGACGAGCAAACTGACGATGCATGGTGGTTTGGCTGTGTCAAACCACCACGTAATCTCTGTTGGTAGCGGAGTTTGGGATTTTGCCGCCGCCGACGGCGCTGCCACACCATAGGTGTCAACTGCAACTTACAACACGGCCGTGCATCAACCTTGGTTCGGGTCGCCGGGGGTCCAGTGGCATGGGTGCACATGCGTTGCACCGTTGGTGATGCCAAAACCCTTTGTGTGAAATTCCTGTGTGTGTTCTTCGGGCTCATGTTCGTGGCATGTCTGCAGCAGGAGTTCGCGTCACATGTCAGATTTGGTATCGTCATTTTTTATGATGGCCCCATCAGGCCAACCCGAATCCCCCGTAACCGAGTCTCACGTCTTCCCGATCCAATGCCGCTGTCCCCCCCTGAGCCAGCCCCGCTTTCGAGTCAAGTCACAGCTCGGGCCTCCAGCGGCCGATTGGCGCGATCCGGCCACCCCCGGAACGCGCTCGGCAAGCGCAGCTGTTGGAGAGCATCCCGAGGCGGGAAACCCGCCGAGAAGCGACGAAAGCGCCTGATTGAACTTCGAGCATCGAACACTGGAGAGTAAATCACGGAAGCTTGCGCTCGTCTTGGGTTGGACGTATTGAAGACGCTTGCCGCTTGCGGCGAATCACCGCCGGCTCTTGCATTTTGGAAGAGTATAAGTGGCCGAACTTTGTGGTCAGCGTTCGGCCGAGGTATCGGACTATGTGTTCCGCCAGCCGGTTTGGAAACCCTTCGGGGAACACATGTGGGCGGAAAAAGAAAATGAGGAGAAAGAGAAAGCAGGAGGAGGAGGAGGAGGAAGAGGAGGAGGAAGAGGAGGAGGAGGAGGAGGAGGAGGAGGAGGAGGAGGAGGAGGTGGAGGTGGAGAGGGGGGAGGAAGAGGAGGAGGAGGAGGAAGAGGAGGAGGAGGAGGAGGAGACCTCTCGAACCCCCCTTGGGGCACTCCTGGGGCTCCTGAGGGCTGCCTGAGGGTATCCACGAGGCTTCTCGTGGGCCTCTTTGGGCCTTTTTGGGGGCGTCTTTGGGCCATCTGGGGGCCTCTTGCGGCGCTTCAGGGCCGTTTTGGAAGTCTCTCGGGCCGTCTTGGGGCTCTCTCGGGGCCGTGTTAAAGGCCATATTGGGCTGTCGGAGCAGAAAAGGCGAAAATTCCGAAATCATCAAAACCACGAGGAAATTCAATCAGTTTGGCCTCTTCGGGCCTTCGCGTACGTCTTTTTGGAGGGATCTTGGGAGCTTTTTGGGCCGTCCTGGACCATCTCGAGGCAATCTTATGCCGTCTTGGGTGCATCGGGGGCCGTCTTGCAGACATACCGCGGTCATCTTAGGCTCTCTTGGACAATTTTGGCAGTTCGGGAGGCCATGTTGGACGTTCTGGAGGCCTCTTTGGCTGTCGTTGCGTCCTCTATGGGCCGTCTTGGTGGTCTTTTGGACCGACATAGGGCCACCTTGGAGGCTTCTTGGGCGATTTTGGGTCCGTCTTGGGTCTTCGGAAGGCCGACGCGGAGCAAAAGCCCCAAACCCTCGCAAACCCGAATTTGGGTTTCTTAATAAGCGTGGGGGGGTACTTCCCCGATGGGTGTCAACCTCGCCTCGTCGTCGCGCCGCGACGGGGGTCGGAGTGCCTTCGGCGCGCGGTGGCTGCCGGCGACGGGGGTCGATGTGGGGTTGTCGGCCGGGTTGGCGCCCCCCCAACGCTTATTAAGAAATTCGGAGTAGGGAGCTCGATTATGTTGGCCGCCTCGGACCTTCTCGAATGTCATCTTGGAGGCCTCTTGGGCCGTCTTGGAGGCCTATTAACTCAGGCAATTTGTGGCTCAAGTTCTGGGCCGTCTTGGAAGCCTGTTGGGCCGTCTTGGAGACCTACTGCCTCGATCCCAGCGATCTCTTATCCAATGGTCTCTTGTGTTGGCGTCACGTCGGTGGCGCTCGTGTGCATGTCGGGGCTGCTCGTATTCCTGAGCGTGGCCTGGCGAGGACCAGTGGTTCGATTAAGTTCTGCGCTGGTATTTGGCCAGAGCAGCATGATCAATGTGAGCGGCCACGCGGGCAGCACGATCGTGAAGTCCAGGCGGAATGCCGCCGCGGCCAAGCATTGCAAATCATTGCCCTGTATCCCAAGTTTGAAGGTTTCGAGTCGGTCGTCCAAGTTGCAGATCATGGGACAAGCCAAAGGATGCAGACCACGAAGCATACCAGTGCTCCGAGTGCGGGCTGAATGGCTTGAAGTGTTTCCAGATTGTGCGCAATCCGTTGGATCGAGTGGTCTCTTCGTACATTCACACCATGAGTTCCAAGATACACACATTTATCGAACGCGAGATCGCAGACTTCGCAGCAGACGCCTCTTTCGCGGAGTTCATCGCTTTCTTGAAACGCACTGCAGCAACGCGTAGCCACTATTGGCAAGACATGCATTACCTGCCCCAGTGCGACAATGTCTGCAAACATACTGAATTTGACCGGGTGCAGCATCTCCCACTCGAGAGCTTGGATGCTGGATTGGCTTGGTTCGGCCAAACCGAAAACATACAGGGCCTGACCAGGAATAACATGTCATCGCACCACTACGTCAAGAAGTCCCCCCGGGTGGATCCAGGAGCAGCATATCTCCGCTACAGCAAGCATCTGCATGATTCGCCTCCGTCCTATGAGTCCTTTCTCGCCGAGCCCAGCATATTCAAGGATGTATGTTGTCTTTTTCGGGCAGATATCGAGTTGTACCGCATGTCATGTTCTTCAGAGTGGTTGCAGGGGTGCGCAGAATGCGTGGACAGTTGTGCCAGAGAGCTACGGAGGTTGGCGCCCTGCGATTAGCGGAGGGTGGATCGTTCAAGCGAGAAGACGCTCGTTCGAGCGAAAAGGTAATCCGTTCAAGCGAAAGCCAATCGAGCGAAAACCAATCGGGCTTGGACAGAGCAGCAGAGAGCACAGAGAAGCAGAGAGCACAGAGCAGCAGAGAGCACAGAGCACAGAGCAGCAGAGAGCACAGAGCAGCAGAGAGCACAGAGCAGCAGAGAGCACAGAGCAGCGGAGCAGGGACACAGAGTGCACACAGGGCATGTGCACACGGGGCACGAGCACACAGGGCACGAGCACACAGAGCAGGGCCACAGAGTGCACACAGGGCACGTGCACACAGAGCAATATCACGCAGAGCACGAGCGCACAGGGCACCCGAGCACGAGCACGCAGAGCACGAGCACGCAGAGCCCGAGCAACGCAGGGCACAGAGCCGGGAACCGGGAATTTGGGCTTTTCCAGCCTCGATCTCTCCAAAGTCCTGGTTCCCGCCATCCTCTCGGCCGCCGTGGGTCCCTGGCGCGCCAGGCATTGCGGGGAACCGGGAATTTGGGCTTTTCCAGCCTCGATCTCTCCAAAATCCTGGTTCCCGCCATCTTCTGGGCCGCCGTGGGTCCTTGGGGCGCCAGACAGAGCCGGGAACCGGGAATTTGAGCTTTTCAGCCTCGATCTCTCCAAAAATCTTGGTTCCCGCCATCGTCTGGTTCGCCGTGGGTCCCTGGCGCGCCAGGCAGAGCCAGGAACCGGGAATTTGGGCTTTTCCAGCTTCGATCTCTCCAAAATCCTTGTTCCCACCCTCCTCTGGGCCGCCGTGGGTCCCTGGGGCGCCAGACAGAGCCGGGAACCGGGAATTCTTTACGCTTCGCGTATCCCCACCAGCCCATCTCACAACAGCAACTCTTGCGAAGCATGCCGACAGTCGTGTTTTTCAGGCGTGTGTCCGCTTGCCCCCGCATATCTCCCCTGTTCCTCCTTCCTCCCGCCTCCTTGTACATCCTCCTTGTGTGGGGAGCGGGAGAAGGACGAGGCGGAGGAGGAGGGAGAGAAAGCGGTGGGAGGCAAGAGGGACTTTGCGGAGACGACGACCACAGCGATGATCCAACAACGACGACGCACCCGACGACGACGACGATATCGACCGCAACGACGACGACGACCACAACCGCGACGACGACGACGACGACGACGACGTCGACGACGACGACGACGAAGGCGGCGACGACGACGACGACGACGACGACGACGACGACGACGACGACTGGTGGGAGTCGTTGGGGGCCCTCGTGGTGTGAGTCCTTTTCCTGGTGTGAGTCGTTCGGGCTCCTCGTTGTGTGAGTCGTTCGGGCCCCTCGTCCTGGTGTGAGCCGTTCGGGCTTCTCGTGGTTCGAGTCGTTCGGGCCTCTCCTCCTGGTGTGAGTCTTTCGGGCCCTTCTTCCTGGTGTGAGTCGTTCGTGCTCTTCGTGGTGTGAGTCGTTCGGGCTCTTCGTCCTGGTGTGAGTCGTTCGGGCTTCTCGTGGTGTGAGTTGTTCGGGCCCCTCGCCCTTGTGTGAGTCGTTCGGGCCCCTCCTCCTGGTGTGAGTCGTTCGGGCTCCTCGTGGTGTGAGTCGTTCGGGGCCCTCGTCCTGGTGTGAGTCGTTCGGGCTCCTCGTGGTGTGAGTCGTTCGGGCGCCTCGTCCTGGTGTGAGTCGTTCGGGCCCCTCCTCCTGGTGTGAGTCGTTCGGGCTCTTCGTGGTGTGAGTCGTTCGGGCCCCTCGTCCTGGTGTGAGTCGTTCGGGTTCGGGCTCCTCGTGGTGTGAGGCGTTCGGGCACCTCGTCCTGGTGCGAGTCGTTCGGGCCCCTCGTAGTAGGAGTAGTAGTAGTAGTAGTAGTAGTAGTAGTAGTAGTAGTAGTAGTAGTAGTAGTAGTAGTAGTAGTAGTAGTAGTAGTAGTAGTAGTAGCAGATGAAGTACTATTAGTAGTAATCGCACACGTAGTCGTCAACGTCGTCGTCGCAGTAGTTGTCTCAGTAGCAGTAGCAGTCACTAGAGCAGTGGTCTATATGGTAGTAGTAGTAGTAGTAGTAGTAGTAGTAGTAGTAGTAGTAGTAGTAGTAGTAGTAGTAGTAGTAGTAGTAGTAGTAGTAGTGGTGGTAGTAGTAGTAGTAGTAGTAGTAGTAGTAGTAGCCGTAGGGGCCCCTCTTCCTGGTGTGAGTCGTTCGGGCTCCTCGTGGTGTCAGTCGTTCGGGCCCCTCGTCCTGGCGTGAGTTGTTCGGGCTCCTGGTGGTTCGAGTCGTTCGGGCCTCTCGTCCTGGTGTGAGTCGTTCGGGCCTTTCTTCCTGGTGTGAGTCGTTCGGGCTCTTCGTGGTGTGAGTCGTTCGGGCTCTTCGTCCTGGTGTGAGTCGTTCGGGCTTCTCGTGGTGTGAGTTGTTCGGGCCCCTCGTCTGGTGTGAGTCGTTCGGGCCCCTCCTCCTGGTGTGAGTCGTTCGGGCTCCTCGTGGTGTGAGTCGTTCGGGGCCCTCGTCCTGGTGTGAGTCGTTCGGGCTCCTCGTGGTGTGAGTCGTTCGGGCGCCTCGTCCTGGTGTGAGTCGTTCGGGCCCCTCCTCCTGGTGTGAGTCGTTCGGGCTCTTCGTGAGTGTGTGAGTCGTTCGGGCTCCTCGTGGTGTGAGGCGTTCGGGCACCTCGTCCTGGTGCGAGTCGTTCGGGCCCCTAGTAGTAGTAGTAGTAGTAGTAGTAGTAGTAGTAGTAGTAGTAGTAGTAGTAGTAGTGGTAGTAGTAGTAGTAGTAGTAGTAGTAGTAGTAGTAGTAGTAGTAGTAGTAGTAGTAGTAGTAGTAGTAGTAGTAGTAGTAGTAGTAGTAGTAGTAGTAGTAGTAGTAGTAGTAGTAGTAGTAGTAGTAGTAGTTAGTAGTAGTAGTAGTAGTAGTAGTAGTAGTAGTAGTAGTAGTAGTAGTAGTAGTAGTAGTAGCTCTCAGGAGAGGCCCAAGTCTCTATTGTCCTCCAGCGTTGTCGTCGTTGTTGCCATTCTGGCTCACAGTATTGCAGTGTGGCTGTGAGCTTAGCTCCGCCTACCAGCAATCGCTTCCGCCTACTAGCAATTTTCCTGCGGCTGACATGGAGAAGCGCCCGTACGCTCTGGTAACCTTGCCAGCAAGGAGGGCTTCTTGGAGCGAGCGTGGAGAATGTCGGTCGTCGACGAGGCCAGTGAGCGTAGCTCAGCCCACCCCGTCTGCTCCGACAGGAAGCGCGGCCATCCCTGAGGACCGGCCGTGGTATGAATGGTGCGGAGGCGCCGAGAATGCAATCTCTCACGTTTGCAAGAGGTGCGGCCTTGACGTGTGCAACGACGTACAGCAGTGCTTTGTTTTCGCGAGCACTGGGCCTTCTGACTCGGCTGTCGCTCGTGACACCGCATTGGAGCATGTATTCTACGACGGCGGAGTCCATTGCGGGGTGGACTCTGTCACGATTCGTGCATTAGTCGACCAGGTCGCTCCGGGAGTTGGGACATGGAGCGGCAGCCCAGCGATGGGACGTGCAGGAGATGTTCGACAAGGTGAACCGTAATGTGGACTTGTTGGAGTGGATGCCAGGCATGAAGTTTGGCCACTTGTTGCTACCGTGCGCCACCGCAGAGGCGAGCTCAGAAACAGGCAAAGGCGTTTCGGTCCTCTGCTTCCCATTCCTTCATGCTCACGCGGGTCTGGAGGTCGAGAGCGCTATAACAGAACTCTGCATTCTGGCTTGGTCGACGACGACGACGACGTCGACGCCGACGCGGACGACGACGACGACGACGACGACGCGACGACGACGACGTCGACACAACGACGACGACGACGACTACGACGTCAATGGTGACGCCGACGGCGAGCGGAACGCACGCGCCCATCGTGGTTTTGGCACGATGTGGCCGCGTTGCGCAATTAGGGCATATCGCCCATCACGCTCACGGGATCGCCACTTTTTGTTGTGATGCACGTTACCCCCTCCTCCATTGGCCCCGCCTTCGTGGCAGCAGCTCCTCGTTGCGGCTAACGCTCGGGGACATGCACGCACGGCGGCCACCGCGGGATGCCCCAGACACGCGCCACTCTCGAGCTTCTATTTGCACGATCTGGCCACCTTGCGAAATTAGGGCACCCACTCCCCGTCAAACACACACATACACACATTCAAAACACAATCGCACACAAATCACACACACACACAACAAAACAGCACAGAAAGGCACGCATAGAATTTGAACCCTTTCCCCCGCTGCCAAGGGGGTGAGGGGGCACGCCATTTTTTGTTTGGAGGTTGACCAGCGGTGGACGTCCGAGCGATGGCCAGCGGTGGATCTCTCTATGGGGCCACGGAACGTGTGAGGGGTGTGCCGGGAATCGGTGCGGTGCCACCGTGCGGGCGCTGCCGCGGGGCCTACGCAGGAGCTCCCCGTGGGGCCACGAAGCGTGTGAGGGGCATGCCGAGATGCACGCGGGGCCGCCATGCTCAGGAGGGGGAAAAGCACACAGACACAATGCATCGCCGATCCCCAGGGAGACATGGGGAAATATGGGAAGTGGGGGGGAAGACAAAAACCCAGAAAATATTGTAAAGCACGCTGGGATAATTTTATTTGTGTGAATTTACTCGTGTGTCCCAGGGCCCCTTCAGAAACGTGTGAGGGGTGTGCCGAAATTTACGCGGGGCCGCCATGCGGGCGGGGAGATTTGGGCCTTCGGTTCAGCTCCTTTTGGGGCCACGAGCCGTGTGAGGGGTGCGCCGAAATGGGCGCGCTGCCGCCATGCGGGCGCTGGCATGTGGACCTCCTGTAGAGCTCCTCTTTATCCTGTAGACGGGTTATCGGCGAAGTAGGTAACAACGATGTAGGTTTCGGTATTGTGGGAACGCGTGGTTCGCGCTTTCCTACACTTCGCGGTGTCGTCCTCGCTCGATCCATTCGCAGATTTCAGATGTAGGGAAGTGTGGTTCGCGATATCTTGCAGTTTGGTTCCCAACATCATCGTTAAGCAACATCGCCGTCAGCCCGGACTTGGTTATCGGGCCACGAGGCGTGTGAGGAGCGTGCCGAATGATGTGGCGATCGACTGAACGGGGCCGCCTTGGCGACACCCGCTCAGTTCCTTAGAAGAGAATTAAGAGCCCCTGATTGCAAGAGATGATGAGGGAGCCAGAAGAGGGAATGACCCCGCAGGGAGTCCTTCAACGAGAACTGTATGAGGGGTGGTGGTGGTGCGCAGCAGCATGCATGTAGTTGGTGCACAAGAGCATGTATATTCCGATTGTTGATCGGGCTCCAGTGTGGAGTTTGGAGAAATCGTCCCAGGCTGTAGAAGACTTGGCTGCCCAAGTGACAGTCGCAGGGCAGCGCCGGGGCGAGGTCTTCTTTCCGAGCGACGGAAACAAGGCACCGACCTTGAATTGCAATTGTGGCCAAGGGCGCAGCAGAAACATTATTCCGAAGGTCCGCAGACGCTCCGATTGAACAAAACCATCCTGGCGACAGATCCAACCATGTTCATGTGTGAGTACCGTCATTGTGGGTATCGCCTCGAGTGGATCTCCTTCTGGGGCCGCGAAGCGTGTGAGGTAGGGGCGACAAAAATATCGGAGTTTGCGTGACAGGGCATTTTCTTTTGCGGAGTCGGGCGCCCTGGCGCTGACGGCCGAACGACCCGTTGCCTGGCCATGCGGTCGCCGCCGCAAAAACTGCCCGTTCAACGCTAACGCCGCGGGGGGGGGCACGGAACGTGAGAGAGGTGTGCCGAGTTGGGGCGGGAGACCGCCATGCGGGCGTTTTCACGGGGGCTCTAGGTGGAGCTCCTATTTCGGGCCACTGAACGTGGCACGCGGGCCCTGGCACTGGTGCCTTCGGTGGAGCTCCTTATGGGCCCGTGAAGCGTGCGAGGGGAGGTTGATGATCATCATCATGGTGCTGGTAGTGATGACGCTGGCGATGATGATGGTGATGATAACGATGATGAGATGATGATGGTGATGATGGTGATGATGATGATGCTGATGATGCTGATGATGATTGTGATGGTGACGATAATATTGATAATGCTGTTGGTGATGATGATGGTGCTGATGCTGATGTTGATGATGGTGCTGATGACGATGATGATGAGGACGGTGATGTGGATGCTTATGTTCATGGCTCAGGTTCATGCGAATGCTGATACTGATTATGATGATGGTGGTGATGACGGCGACGAAGATAATGACCATGACCATGAGACCATGATGACGACGACGATGATGAAAGTGACGACGATGACGATGACCTTTTCGATGGTGACGATGATGATGGTGATGATGATGTTGATGATGGTGATGATGGTGGGGGTGAGGATGCTGAAGATGATGCTGGTGATGATGGTGATGGTGATGATGAAGCTGACATTGTTGGTCTAGAAGCGGACGATGATGGTGAGGATGATGATGATGATGTTGATGTTGATGCTGCTGGTGATGATGATGGTGGTGATGATGATGATGGTGATGCTCAGGGTCGAAGCAGGGATGGGAGGAGAAAGAGGATAAGGAGAAGGTGGAGGAAGACGGGGACAGCGGATATGAACAGGCTGGGAGCATCGGGACACAGGTGAGGTTAAGGAGGGTGGCCCGCAAGAGGACTGAGGCGCGCATGGGGATAAAAGGCTGCCATGGGCAAGCGAGGCGTTCTCCTCTCCTTGTTTCCGTCGTGCGCTGTGTCCCTGCCCGCCTGTCCCGCAGTGGTCGGGGCCTCGGTCGCCGCTGTTTTCCCATGTGTCCTCGCGCCCGAGAGGCCACTGCTCGGGGCAGAGTGCAGCGCGGAGTCCCCGCGGCACGCGCCGGTCGCCCCGAAGGAGTCGTCGGCGGCACGGAGCATTAAACAAAAACGGGCGAGGCGCGGATGCGACCTCCTCCTCCTCCTCCCCCTCCTCCTCCTCCTCCTCCTCCTCCTCCTCCTCCTCCTCCTTCCTTCTTCGCAGCGAGTTGTACGCTCTGGTTTGCCCCCCGCTGATAATGGGCGCGGCGCTAAGCGGAACGCGGGAATTGGGCACGCCATGGAGGCAGAGCGCAGGGTCTCCGTGTAGGGTCACGAAGCGTGTGGGGGGTGTGCCGGAAGACATGCGCTGGGCAGGGAACCGCATGTGAATTTTGTTAGTGGGTCCTGCGGCAGAGTTCCCTATGGGACCACGAAGCGTGTGAGGGGTGTGCCAGACATGAACATGCGGCGGGCGGGGAGCCGAGTGTGGACACTGCCACTGGGGCCTTCGGTGGAGCTCCTTGTGGGGCCACGCAGCGTGTGAGGGGTGTGCCAAAATGAACATGCGTTGGGCAGGAGGCCAATATGAGCCCTGCCACTGGGGCCTTCGGTGGAGCCCCTTGTGGGGCCACGTAGCGTGTGAGAGGTGTGCCGAAATTGGCCTGCGGGATGCGGGGGGGGCGCATGTGGACCCTGCCAGTGGGGCCTTCGGTGGACCTCCCAGCGGGACCACGGACAGTTCAAAATGTGTGCCAAGATTGGCATGAGGGGGGGTCGGGGGGGGGGGCGCATGTGAACCCTGCCACCTGGCGCCTTCGGTGAAGCGCTCCATGGGGCCATGAAGACTGAGAGGGTTTGCCGACATGGACATGCGGTGGGCGGGGAGCCGCATGTGGACGCTGCTGTTGGGGCCTTCGGGGGAGTTCCCGGTGAGGCCACGGGACATGTGAGGGGTGTGCCGAAATGGGCATGCGGTGGGCGCGGGAGGGCGCATGTTGACCCTGCCAGTCGGGTTTTCGGTGGAGCGCTCCATGGGGCCACGAAGCGTGTGAGGGTTTGCCGAAGTGGGCATGCGGTGGGCGGGTAGCCGCATGTGGACGCTGCTGTTGGGGCCTTCGGGGGAATTCCCGATGGGGCCCCAGACATGTGAGGGGTGTGCTGGCATTGACATGCGGTGGGCGGGGAGCCGCATGTGGACCCTGTCATTCGGCCCTTCGGCTTAACCCTTTATGTGGCTACGAAGGGTGAGAAGGGCGTGCCGGAACAGGGCGACGGTGTGCCGTAATAGCTGGCATGGGGAGGGCAGAGGCAAGGACGGACTGACGGAGGAGGGGGAAGAGGAGAGGAAAAGGAAATGGCACGGGGTGTTGCCTCATCAGCGAGGACCGAACACCGCAGCATACGGGGAAGCAAACAGACGAAACTTCAAACGCTCAGATCCTTGCTGCGTGTATCTGTGTGCGTGCGTGTGCGAAAGATACGCGGGGAAACCTGGAACGCGGTTGGACAAAGTCAGGGGAGAGGAGAATCGCATGAGTTACCGTGTTCGGATTATCTCATTTCAGAATGCTGAGGCGACGGTCAGAGGGGAAGGATATGGAGAGGGAGACGGGAGTGGAGCAAACTAGGCGCGCCCGCGCCATAGTCGACGTCGCACATTCCCCTCACATTCCTTTCCACTGTGTACCCCGGTTTGCACACGACAACCGCTTTTGCATACAGCAAAGCACCGCACGCAAGAACCACCCAGGGGAAATACGGTGCACGTGCGGACGCAGCGGGGTAGTCAGGCGGACCAGCCACGTAGTCAGGCGGGACCAGCAGGTGGCGACGGCTGCGCGACTCGGCCTGACCTGGCCAGATGCTGTTCTTGCTGGGTATTTTGAAGAAAGTGCGATGCCGAGCGCGCAGAACAAGATAAATATTCGCACGGTTTTGGGTCGAGATAAAAGCTCAACATCGGTCAAGAGAGCACTTTTGGAGTTAGATGTGACGGAGCAGAACACGCTGCCGCAATCGTCCGCAGCAGGATCCAAGACGTTTCACACGATGGACGACGACGCGTCCGCGGACGAGCGCGGGATCTGCGGCCTCTACGAAGCAGAGTTCGACAACGAGGAGCTCAACCTAATCCTAGTCACCTTGGACAGCCAGGATTTGGATGAGGAAGAGATCGCGCAGGCTTTGGGGGAGACGACCACGCCGCAGAGGAGACGCGCATGGCAGGGGCCCAGACAGCTCAAGACGGCGAAGAGGCTCGACCGCGACTTCTTTGACAAGAAGCGTGAGAACAGGCGGAAGGTGGCGCGAGAAGATTTCAAGAAGAGATCCAGGTGCTCGAACCGTGGAGAACGCGGCCGCTGGCGAGAGGACTGCCGCAAGCTGTTCCGCAGCAGGAGCGACCGCCTGAAGGCAGAGACCCAGGCGCACTCGACGCCAGCGGGACCGACCTTCTACTTCGATCTGGGCGAGAGCGATCCGACCGCAACGTCGGGCACTACCTGGATCACTCTCGCCGTGCTCGGGGGGGATTTCGCCAGATCCGAGGGCGGCGAGGTCAGCCTTCAGAACATGTTCGACGTGGCGTTTGTGGATGCGGCGGCTGGCCAGGCTCTCATCGGGGCACCCGGCGTCGATCATCTGAAGGAGGCGTTCGCGAAGAAAGGCTTCGTCGCACAGGTCGCGAAGACGGACCTCGAGAAGTTGCCGTCGGCGCACGGCGTGGGCGGCGAGGCGGTGCTGGTCGGGAAGGCGCTGGCGCCGGTATCCTTCCACGCCTGCGGCGCGGTGGAGTTTCTCATCCTGCCGCGCCCCTGTCCACCACTTCTTCCGGAGAGGTTCTTGGACTTCACGCGCGCCGTCGTGGGCCTCGAAGCCGACGAGCTGCGGGTGAGTGACAGCGACCACTAGAGAAAGGTGCCGACGGTGAAATTTCCGCCAGGTCACCAGGCCATCTCTCTCAGCGGCTGCGACTCGCAGAACATCAGGCTGGATGAGACTGGCTGGTATGTCCCCGAGCTTCGCCAAGAGGCAGGTGAGCTTCCTAGAGGGCACGGGGCCGCAGAGGGACTGCTGGCTGATCGACGGAGATAGGCTTCGCAGAGTTCACGTCCACCCTCGCAGAACATATTTTACGCCGAGCGATGCCGAGGACATCCCCGTTCCGATCGAGAGCCTTTCCAGCGTGGCCGTGATCGCCTGTCAGGAGATCGACTTCGGGGACGGAGTTGACCGGATTGAGAGCTTGCAGTGCGACTGGAGGCTCGGCGCGGAGATCAGCCAGGAGGCGCGCTGGATCGGCTACACCGACTTCGCGATCGAGGTAGGACAGGGCTCTGAGGGGGCCCAAGTTTCAGTTTCACAGGCCAGTCTCTCCAATTCCAGCCCTCTCTCAACGGACCTGTCGGTTTCAGATTCTGTTGGGGATCTCGGGGGGCCACGGCAGCCGGGAGAAACGACGGGCAGTGCAGGGCCCGACCCAACCACTGGAGCGACTCGGCTCAAGAGGGCTCGTCAGCTCGATTTCCTCTCTCGCTCGCGGCAGCTTCGACGATGTCACGCGCGTTGAAGGGCAAAGCTCCCAGGGCGCTCAGGGCCATGAGGCAGCAGGCGGCAGGTCGCCTCGCAGCCGCAGTCAGCCCAGACTCAGAGGACGAGCGTCCTCAGGGCATCCAGGAGATCACGGAGGACA